CCTTCCTTCCTTCCTTCCTTCCTTTCTTCCTTCTTTCCTTCTTTCCTTCCTTCCTTCCTTCCTTCCTTTTCTTTCTCTCTTTTTCTCTTCCTTCCTTCCTTCCTTCCTTCCTTCTTTCCTTCCTTCTTCCTTTCCTTCTTCGTTCTTTCTGCTTGAACTCTGGGCCTGGGCACGTTCCCTGAGCTCCTTCTGCTCAAGGCTAGCATTCTACCACTTCCAGTTTTTTCTGTGATTAATGAGAAGATTCTCATGGACTTTCTTGCTTGGGCTGACTTAGCATGCTCAGTAGCCATAGTTACAGGTGTGAGCCATCAGGGCCTAACTACATTTAACTTTTTCAAGTCATTAAAAAGTACAACATAAAGTGAAGGGTAAACAAAGGAGGAGGCTACAATGCTTGATTAGAAATGTACTCATTATCTTGCCCATGTAATTTTAACCCCTCTGTACAGTATGTTCACAATAAAAAATAAAAAAAGAAAAAAGTACAACATATCTGCATAATGAGACCCAGTAATATTTTATATTACTGATTGCTACCTAGAGCATTTGATGATATAATGTAATCCATAATCTGTCATTTATGGATTGTTTAATTTTGTAGATCTCTCCACCCAATGAAAACATTGTAGTTCACAACCCTTCAAGACCTTGGTGGGAAAGATACCAACCCATCAGCTATAACATCTGCACAAGATCTGGGAATGAAGATGAATTCAGAGACATGGTGAATAGGTGTAACAATGTTGGGGTAAGTGAATTAAAGATTCTTTCAAAATATTACACACAAAAATATAAAATATTACACAAAAATTAATTTCATTGTCCTATCTCATGCACTTTTGAGGACTAAACAATTCATATTTAAAACTTTAGAAATTTTACTGAATCACTTAGCTTTAACTCAAAATTAAATACTGCCTTATGTCTCAATTTTGTAAATACTGTTTTCATACCATTCATCTACTAAAGAAGAGATAGTTTCAGTTTTCAAGAAGAGTTTATTTATAAGGCCAAATATTATCTTTTAACTGTTATAACTATACACATTTCCTTGGAGCACTTTACTGGTTAGGAGATGGAGATTGTATTACAATGGTTGCTGTTTTTTTCATGTGATTTATTATCTAGCCATAGTTTTTGAGTGTGCCTCCTTATCACTGACTTTAATGGTAAATATTCTTCCTCTACTGAGCATCATAATAGAAGAGCTATATCTACGTGCATCTGCTGAGATGCTTAAAAAAATAGTGGCCAACTGTTTTCTCTCCTTGTGACCCACTGAAATTTCAACAATCAATAATCCTCCTTTTTTAACTGATATTTTTATCAGTTGACCCTTTTCATTCTTTATAGCTATGATAATTTCTGGTTTTCTCCATTTATCTTTGCATAGATATTTGAGTAACCAGAAGAGCTGCCAATTTTCATTTTATAGTAGTTGGAGCTTTATTTCAGATTGTATACTATAATCAATGATGCGTTATGTTTCTCCTTAAAGTCAAACTGAAAAAGACTCTGGTTTTCAGGTCCGTATTTATGTGGATGCTGTAATTAATCACATGTGCAGTGAAGCGGGGAGTTCAGGAACAAACAGCACTTGTGGAAGCTACTTCGATGCTCAGAATAGAGCTTTTCCTGCAGTTCCATACTCTGGCTGGGATTTCAATGATGTTAAATGTAGATCTGGAAGTGGAGGCATTGAGAACTATAATGATGCTGCCCAGGTAATTTTTTTAAAAACAATGATCAGAATAAAGCACTCCTTAGTCCTGCAATCAATAATCTGTATCTTATTTAATATCATTTTAAATACTCAAGTAAATTCCTAGGAAAAACTGGCTTCCAGGGCTAACTACAAAAGGAAGGAAGTTTCTCAGTTGAGGGTGGTGGTACATTCTGTTATCCCAGCATTCAAAAAGCTGAGGACTTGGGGATCTTGGAATTTGAGGCCAGACTATAAATATCTGAAGGGATCTCAAATCAATATTCAAATGTTTCCACAATCATGTGTCTTTCCTGCAATACAGATGAGTGGCAGATTACTAACTTGCCACCCAGAGTTTGAGATCTGGCACAATTCACAAAGAAAGAAAAATAGAAAAAACCCAAATCACTTCAAATTACTAAGAAGCCCCTCTTCTTCATTTCCTACATTCTCCATTTTTATAGAATAAAAAAATTCAAAGGCGCACCATAGTGCCCTGTGTCAAAGCACTATGGAAATATATATAAATAAGTCATGAATAAATAATGATATAGATTGTCAGGTAAGACATAAGGTTTAGTGAATCAATAACAAAAATTTTACCCCAAACAGGTCAGAGATTGCCGTCTAGTTGGTCTTCTTGATCTTGCACTTGAGAAAGATTATGTTCGGACCAAGATTGCAGACTACATGAACCATCTAATTGACATTGGAGTAGCAGGGTTCAGGCTGGATGCGGCAAAACACATGTGGCCTGGAGACATCAAGGCGGTACTGGATAAACTGCATCATCTCAATGTAACTTGGTTCCCTGAAGGAAGCAGGCCTTTCATTTACCAAGAGGTACATCACTATGTATGCGTGCATGTAAAATAATGTAAGAAAAACAAATAAAATAAATACAGAATATGTAAATATGTAATTTCTCTAGGTTAATTTCTGGGCCACTTACATAGAGCAATTTCTGGAGCTTAAAACTCAGGGCCTGGAAAGCTCTCTTCACTTTTTCAATCACCATCACCAGTGGGGCTCTACCATGTAAACTATGCCTTCATTTCTGGCATTTTTTGCTGGTTAGTTGGAGAGATGTGTGTGTGTGTGTGTGTGTGTGTGTGTGTGTGTGTGTGTATGTTTTTAGGCATATCTCAGCTTGCTGAAGAGCTAGGATCATAGGTGTGAGCCACTAGGGCCTCAAAGTACTTTACTTTTTTGTTGGTGGTGTTTCTGTCGGTTGTGGGGCCTGAACTCTGGGCCTGGGTGCTGTCCCTCAGCTCTTCAGCTCAAGGCTAGTGCTCTACCATTGAGCCACAGCACCACTTTCAGCTTTTTCTGCTTATGTGATGCTGAGGAATCGAACCCAAGGCCTCATGCATGCATAGAAAGCACTGAGCCACCTTCCCAGCCCCAGTACTTTACATTTTTCACCATGGAGGTACTAATTTCTGTATTTAATTTTATATCTAGGTACATTTTTGAGGGTCTTATGAATGGGACTGTCTTTATGAATGTTTTTATATTCAGTTTATTATCAGTCAACAGAAAAGCTACTAACTTTACAAACAGCTCACATTTATCTAGGTTTTATTTCAAGATTGTGACAATATTTTATAAAAAATTAAGCATCTTTAACCTAAAGGAAACCATTTTGAGCAGTACAAAAGACTTGTTTTAAGCTATTATTTTTACATATTGTCACCCATCGCTCCTAACCCATCCCTTCTCTCACTTATTTTTTTAAAAAAATTGAGATTAGGTGATTATATAAATTTCACATATTTCACAGTATTGTGGAATAGTGACACTTAGTTAAAGTCACAAACACATTTTAACCTTAACACATTAATATGCCTTCACAAGGCATATTGTCATTATCATGGTCTATAAAGTTTGCAAATTCAATGAGCTGTGACAATACAAATTATTTCTTCCACATCAGGTTTAAGCTATGCTTTTTAAAAGCATACTAATCTGTACACTAAAATAGTTTAAAATTCACATTATCAAGGTATTTTCCCTTGTTTCTCCTAGGTCATTGATCTGGGAGGTGAGGCAATTTCAAGTAGTGAGTACTTTGGAAACGGACGTGTGACAGAATTCAAGTATGGGGCTAAGCTGGGTACAGTGATCCGCAAGTGGAGTGGCGAGAAGATGGCTTACTTAAAGTAAACAAATTATGCTTGTTTATTTGAATTTCTTTATAGATGAGCTAATCATATTACTCCAGTTAGAGCCTTTCTTTCTAGACAACTGTCAAGAAGCTGGTCATTAATAATGCATCTTATTTTCTTCCAAACATCAATTCATCATCTTTTTTTGTTTGGAAAATGAATTTTAATAGAAGTGTTCTCTAAACCCAAACATCACTTTGAGATTGTTGACCTATAGATGACATAAGTATATTAGATTTTAGTCATGTTTGCCTATAGTCTGTCAAAGTTGATGAGTATTAAAAGGATTCTACCGTGGGTAAAGTGCCAACAATGTGGACATATGTGCAATTTAAGTCTCATATCAATCACTTAATTTCAAATATTAAAATGTCTTTACCTCAGTAGTATCTATTGGAGGCAGATCTTTAAAAACACTTTTGGGTGTTCTGTGTAATGTGTTGTATATGTTGACTCTTTTGAAATCCATGGACAATGCAATATATTGAAATGGCTAAAAGTAGCTTTTTTAATAAAAAAATTCTTATAGGTAACTTGAATAGAATACAAGTAATCCATTTACCCATACAAAATGGAGTTTATTTGCAGATTTAATGAGTGTACTTACCCTCCCCTTCCCACACAAACACAACAAAAATACTAAGAAAGAGCCATTCAGTTATTTTACTCTAAATCAGTTTTAAAGGACTATATGTTAATATTAATAGTCTATTAATATTTTTAGGAACTGGGGAGAAGGCTGGGGCTTCATGCCCTCTGACAGAGCCCTGGTCTTTGTGGACAACCATGACAATCAGCGAGGACATGGGGCTGGAGGAGCATCCATCCTTACATTCTGGGATGCCAGGTAGGATGATGTTTTCCACTCTTATGAACCTGCCTTTAGACATGATCGTGTGCATCCTTCTACCTTGCATTAAGCATCATGTTCTTAACTTTCAGAATGTACAAAATGGCTGTCGGATTCATGCTTGCTCATCCTTATGGCTTTACACGAGTAATGTCCAGCTATCATTGGCCAAGATACTTTGAAAATGGAAAAGTAAGTTTTAGAATTGCTCAAAGAGCAGTTCTGTTTTAGCTTTATATGATATTATTAAATTCGGCATTTATTTATCATGCACTTATTAAAACAGTAGCTTGTGGTTCAACTCTGTTTTTAGTATTGCAAAGGAGAGAAGTAAAAATTCATTTCTTGCCAAAGGAGTATAAAATTGTTTCATAAATAGGATAACCAGCAAACATTCACCCTCTACTATCAAGGAAGAAAGGTGACAATAAATTCAAGATATAAAGAGCTATAAAATGTGTGCTTTCTAAAATATCTACCTTATAGTGTTAATGTGGGATTACATATGCTAGCATATATAAATAGTTCCTGCCAGTATATCAGGAATAGAAAATACTTGTTTTTAAATAATATCTATAGAATGCAAAGAAAGTACTCAGTTGAGCTGAGTTTAAATAGAAAAAAATGTTTTATCAGAAGAAGGAAAATTGTTTATTAAAGAACAAAAATTTATCTGAGCACTGTTGTCTCACACCTACTCAGAAAGACTGTAAGCCTCTTATCTCTAATTAATTAACCCCCTAAAATGCTAGAAGCGAGCTATGGCTCAAGTGGTAGAGGTCCAGCCTTGAGGCAAAACAACTCCGGGAAAGTGCCCAGGCCCTGAATTTAAGCGCGCACACACACACACACACACACACACACACAGCACAGAAAATTTCAGATTATTTCATAAAAATTACACGAAAAATATTTGGAAGTGTGGAAGACAGTAATTAAAATAGCTATTTCAATCAAGAACTGAGAAATCAGGATATAAATATAATTTAAAAGCTAAGATTAAAAAACAATTTCAGAAGTAGTACCATATTAAACTTTAGAACTAAACAAATTCCTGTTACAGGCAAGTATAATAGATACATTTCTATTTTTTTAAATTTTCTGTTTTTTTTTTTTCAATTTGAGTACCCAACTCACCTCTCCAGCAATTCTTTCTTTTGTTGGATAGCTTTAATTTTGTAATGCATCTCTTTTATATTGAGTCAGCTTCTGCAACTTCCACTAATTGTTCTTCTGATGTCAGAAGTCATGAAAATTGCCCATTTATTTTTCCTATTGTGTTTCTATTTAACCTATATGTCTACATCACGAAATCCCTAAATGTAATGTAAATGGTCTCTATACACTGAAATTCCTACTAATTTTGATGTCATTCTAGAAATATCTTTCCAAGTATTATCCACCAGAAAGGGACATATTAAAACTTTTTACCAATTTAGTAAACAGTATTAGGTTGTGTTGGATATTATGTTTATTTAGAAGATGGTATAAAACCTAACAATTATTACAAACAGTATTTATAATGATTCTCTCAAAAGTAATAAAACATTATTTTAAAATTCATTTTTTATGATCTTTACGTAGTTGCACAAAGGAGTTGCCATTCAATAAGGCAGTTTATGGGCACAATATATCTTAACTAATGTCACACTTTTCATAATTCTCCACCATCCCTTCCAGCCGTCCTCTTGCCGCAATACATGCATTATTTTTTGTAATAAAAACCAATTGATATTCCTGTTTTACAGATGAGAAAAAATAGTCTCCTATAAGCTTGATATATAAAGATTTTTTCAGCTATTCCCACTGGGACATATTGTTTGATTCTAATACTCCTGAAACAAATGGACTTGCAGTTTCAATGAGTTGCTTTCTGGTGATCCCAACGAGCCATTTCTTGGAAGGAAAAATGAGAAAAATTTGCTACTCTTGTTTGAAATATGTCCCTGGAGAGCACGAGTCCCTAGAGACGATGAGGACTCGGTAAAGGAACGTGAACAATAGGATGATAAGGCAGGGACACAGAAGCACAAGGATCACTTGGGGTTAGTGTAGCGAGGAAGGTGGAGGCCAGCTAACACATGCATGTTAAAATTAAAATTTTGTGTTCTGTAACTAAGGATGTCAATGACTGGGTTGGACCTCCCAACAATAATGAAACGATAAAAGAAGTCACTATTAATCCTGACACCACCTGTGGCAATGGCTGGGTCTGTGAACATCGCTGGCGTCAAATCAGGTTGGGAATGTTTATTTACCTAGTGAAACTCCTGGATAGGGGCTTTGCCTAATGTTTGATTTCATCTCCTGAAGCTGAAGGATGCAACATTTCATGTGATCTTGTACTTGTAGGAACATGGTTGCTTTTCGAAATGTAGTTGATGGCCAGCCTTTTACCAACTGGTGGGATAATGGAAACAACCAAGTAGCTTTTGGAAGAGGAAACAGAGGATTCATTGTCTTTAACAATGATAACTGGTAAGTAGCTGTTAGAAACAATTTATGTTTCGCATTATTTTTATTACTTTACTATCAGCATATAGTTAACAACTTGATTTCATTGTGATATTGTTGTGATAAAAATTGAAAGGATTTATAGTTTCAATCTCTACACCTTTGGTATATATACTCTAATTTTCTATCTCTGTGACAAATAATAATATTATTAATATATATATATATATATATATGAGACAATTTCATCTTATGGTGAGTTTTTTTTTTTAGTTTTAGCTTTTAAACTTTCTTTTGCGATACTATTGTCCCATTACCCTATTCTAAAGATTCACACATAAGGTTAGAGTGCAGGTGATCCCTCTACACACAGGTGAATTGTCTCTGTCTGAGGCCAACATTTCAATAATTTTAGCCTAATTATGTTTTAATAATCAAGAATTAAATAATAGAATATATATTTTATGAAAATATCAACCACTCTTTTTCTTAAAGGATGAGAGTACTAATTTAATCTTAAGAGACATATATATGTATATTTACATGCATATATACATATTACATACATATACATATATATAATATATATATATTATATATATATATATATATATATATCAATGTTAGTGTTTTCACAACATCAAAACTTCCACAAGCCTTGTGGAAGTTTTATTTATTGAGAATTTATGCTTATTGTCAAAAATAACTAGAACTTTCTTAGGCTCAAATTTGAATAAATAAAAATTATTTAGGAATATACACACAAACACACATATATAATAAAATATTTCTGCACTATTATCTAAGGGTGGCTGTTCTCTTTGAACATTTTCATTAATATTTTTCCATTTTCATTTTTATTTTCACCACTGACTAGGAGTTTCTAGATCTTTTGCACAATCATGTTAGTCTTGAGAAACTTTCACACCCACTCATAGGTCTCTTTATGTTTTTGTTCTTAATTGTGACCTTGACTTATTAGAGGTCAATACTGATTATTTCTTTTACAGATTGCCTGCAGTCTGGAAGTTCTCAGTGTTGAATTTAAGTTAGTTGTTATCTTTTATATTTTAGGTCATTATCCTCAACTTTGCAAACTGGTCTTCCAAGTGGAACTTACTGTGATGTTATCTCTGGAGATAATGTCGAGGGCGATTGCACAGGAATCAAAATCTCTGTTTCCAGTGATGGTAGAGCTCACTTTCCCATTAGCAACTTTGCAGAAGACCCATTTATTGCCATTCATACTGAAGCTAAATTATAAGAGGCAAATTAAGTATATATATAAATATATATGTAAACGGTGTATTAACAAATGTTTCTCTTTTATATTTTTAATTACTACAATTTTCTGACTTATAAGAATAGTTTTAAATAATCAGTGTGAAAAAATAATGAAAAGATTAGAGAATTACATATACTCACACAATTACAGGGTAACTATGGCCAAGATACCATTTTATGTGAGAAAAGCCACTTTATTTGTCAAAACAATATCTAAGAGTTCACAAAGTCAATTTAACAAATACATACATGCACCTGCACACATATACACATATGGAGAAAGAACAGTATTTTCTGTTATGTATGTATAATTTCTCTTTGCCTACACTATTCTGTAGACTTAAGCTATGCACAGATGGTTTAATGAGGATTATTACCCAAAATATGTAATGCAGGAATCCTAGGATTTTCTAGACTAACTCTCTTCTTAGAAGGGCAGCATTAATTTGTGTTCTTTATGCAATTTCTTTCTTATCTCAAGAAGAATTCTCAGCATAGTTTAGAGTGTTTAGAACAATATGTGAAAGGAGAAAAACTGGTTTCATTCACAACCATTTTCAGAATAGTTCTGGATTTTTCTTTCCTCTGTCATGATTTTAAAAGAAAACGTACCAAAGATTATTTCTTCTACCAAAGATGATTTCTTACACGTGTGCAAATGATACCGTACAATTCACACATGTTTGCAAAACAAACTTTGGCCTCAGAGGGCCCTCAGATCAAATGAAAAAATCTTTCAACTAAAACTCCTTGCTTTGATTTGAACACATCTTCAAGTTTTTCTTGTGTTGGAGGCTTGGTCCACATTGTGTGATGTGAGTAGAATGGGACCTCCAAGAGTTGGTGCTTAATGAGCATTAGGTAAGCCAATGAAGATATTGCCTAAAGAAGGATAGAAGCAAGTTGTTATGGGAATTTGGTTAATTTCCAAGAGAGTGAGTTGTATCAAAACAGCATGGCTGACTCTTGGATCCCTTTCTGGCTTCCTGCACTGCATGTAATCCTGGTCATATGAACTCCTGCCCAAAGCCACACATTGTGAGACGCTCAACAGATGTAAAAGAAAAGGCCTACTGATATATTGTACTTTCAGACTCCTAAACAGAAACGAAATAAAATCACTTTATGCATTATTATGTCTCTGATATTTATTTATTTATTGTAGAAATTAGCATGAACTCTTAAAACCCATGACCCCCAAATTTTATTTTCAGATATATATGTGTGTGTGGGTGTGTATATATACATATATATCTGAAAATAAATATATATCTGCTCTCCTTTTTAGCAAAACATTTGTATCCATCTAACAGTCATCACATTCCAAAGCTAGTCATTTTCACTTCTTCTCTGGCCCATTTCTACTATGAACAATTGGTAAATTTGGTCTTAAGAACCTCATCAATAATATTCATGCTACACATTCAATGTCCTTTTCAGTTCTTAGTGTATGCTAGTTTGTAACAAGATAGCTCCTCTTACTGTCTTTCTTTAGTTCAGATGATTTTATTTTTTTCTGTTCTTATCTCTCTCTGTAATTACTTCCTCCTATTCTTTTCCCCTCCTTCTCTTCCTCTGCTTTCTTTTTCTTTTCTTTTTCTACTACTACTTCTTTACTTTCTTCATGCTATTTTCTTTAGGTGGGGACATTATTAAAGTCTGAACTCAGAGCATCGTGCTTTTAATAGGCAGGCATTGTTGCATGAAGGCCATACTCTAAGCTCTTGATAAAAATTGGCATGGTTTTTTTATGTTAGGTTTTTAGGGCTTCCTTGTAAATTTCCCACACACTGTTTCGTTTATACGACAGAAATTTATTGTACAATTTTTGAGACTAAAACATGAAATATCAAGCTCTCTGAAGAGTGGATTCTTTCTGATGCATGTTGCAAATTTTTTTTCTCTTTGGTATGTAATTGCCCTGCATCTCCCTATATCTTCCCATTTATGGGCATTGTTGGTATCTTTTTGCCAGTTTCTTCATTTTTTGAAAGAACAACAATTTTAACTTGCTTACCATTTACAGTGCTCTAGTCCATTCAGGGCCACATTTTGAGGTATTTTGCATCAACTTTTGAGTATGTTTTCTGAAGAGTTTACAATTTAACTCAATAGTTTCCTTTATGTCATAATCAGCAAGGCAAAGATCTATTTAGTAATTTTTGGGAGTCCTAGCTAAAGCAATGAGGCAATGTTAATAAAATAAACCTATATATTAAAGAAGAAAGTAACATGTCTTTTTGGAAAGATACTATAGTCATCTATACAAAAACTTCCCTAAAAATAGGTAGTACCAATGCTAAAAAATTAACAACAATTTGCAAAAAAAAAAGATGTATGCGTTGAAAACCATAAAAGCATTTTCAGAAAGGAAGTTTCTCAATTTATTTCTCATTTGTTTCTTATTTGTTTCTCATTTGTTACGAGAAATTAAAAATTAAATTAATAGTTGAAACCATTTGTCTTTTGCACATATTTTCCTCTCATTTTTAAAAATTGTGTATTTATTTTGTTGATTTTCCTTTTCATAGAGGAACATTACTATTTTGTTGAAACTTAGGTGATCAAATTATTCATTTCATATATGTTTGATATTAAATCTAAAAATTGATCACTATACTAAAGGCTACACAGATTTTCTATTTTATTATCCCCTAGGATTTTAAAATTTTTATATTTTACATTTATATCTATAGCCCAGTTTGATTTATAATTAGTGAAAGGTGTCAATTCCTCTACAATGATACAAATCTCTCAGGCTAAAATAAATTTTTTTGGGGGGGTCCGGTCGTGGGGCCTGAACTCTGGGCCTGGGAGCCGTCCCTCAGCTCTTCAGCTCAAGGCTAACACTCTACCACTTGAGCCAAAGCTGGGTGCCTATAATCCTAGCTACTCAGGAGGCTGAAATCTGAGGATCGTGGTTCAAAGCCAGCCAAGGCAGGAAAGTCTGTGAGACTCTATCTCCAATAAACCACCAGAAAACCAGAAGTGGCGCTGTGACTCAAGTGGTAGAGCACTAGCCTTGAGCTGAAGAACTGAGGTACAGCACCCAGGCCCAGAGTTAAAGCCCCACAGCAGATTAAAAAAAATAACTAAAACAAAAAACAAAAAAAGAATAGCCAATACCAACACTAAGGTTAATTTTGAATTTTCACATTATATGACTGGAAAATACTACATTTTTGCTAATTTAAACAAAAATATGATCATGTATATGAAAATGTTTGTTTCATATAGAGCTTCACTCTGTACTTTGTCTTGAAGTAAGTCATTTTTGTTATATTCCTAGATGTAGTTTGTAGTCTCACCTTTTATTAGGTTTGTTGACAGCACATGTTTTCGATACCAGCAACACCACATATACTATTTATTTTGGAAATGTATCTGAGCCTTGGCTCAAGAAATTCTCTAACTTTACACATCTGGTAACCAAACTTGATTATTTTTATCTTCTTTCTGCTATTTCTATAATGACTTATCCTAAGCTTAGTTTCATGTTCTTTTTCCCTTTTCTTCGTGTTTTTTTTCTTGTTGAGGGAACAGTTGATCAAAGGTTTACTGTTTTGAGAACGTGGTATGGAATCAATTTGAAATTTAGAAGAATCATGACTTTTTCAGCAAGAACAATTGTCAGTCTGAATGAATTCAATAATCATATTATTATCTAAGGCTGTAGAGTATCAGAAAAACAGAAAACTTAATACCCAATAAAACTGGTTT